AGAGAGAGAGAGAGAGAGAGAGAGAGAGAGAATTTAATGCAAACCATTTGCCATTTGGGGTGAACGGCATTCACGCCCTCGTACTCCATAAAAGAGGCAAATCCTTCGTTGAGCCTAAATGTAAGGAATTAATAAATATTTGCCAAAAATATAACAAATTGTCGGTTAGTTGACTGACCAGAGGTCGTCCCACCACTTGGGTGTCACCAAATTGCCGAACCATTGATGAGCCAATTCGTGTGCTTTTCAATTCATTCACAGCATTATTTGTATTTGCATTTTGAAACAATTGAGAGTCAGTTACCGATAACTGTGGCCACTCTTTGCAGGTTATGCGATGACGAGACCGACTGGTCGTAAAGCATAGCCGTCTCCCTGTATATAATCATACCCCAGTTCTCCATCGCACCCGCGTTTAGATCGGGTACAGCCACCATATCTGCACGGATCAAGTGTTTACAAAACTACACATCTATTATCTTATTAACACAAAACGAACCCATTTTTGGTAACGGATACGAAATATTGTAGTAATTTTCAAAATATTTTAACATTTTTGGCCCGACATCTAAAGAATAATTGGTGGCCGATATTGCGTCGGCTCTCGACCACACACTAAACTGATATATTTATAGTTATTTTGATTTTATTGTTGAATATTTATATATAAATATAATTATTAAATCAGAATATTCATAGATTATAATATGTGGTACTAACGTATGATTACATAAAATATATTAAATTTACATATTCTTGAATCTCATATGTAATCAGATCTTTTTATAGATAATTTAAATAATATTAACGTTTTTAAATTAAAACTTTTGGATACATTAAATGAAATTAAATTGTCCAACTTTTAAATGAAGTTATATATTTAAATTCACCTATTTAATTAGAGTATTTTTGCAAATACTAGTTTGTGTGGAAATAATGAGGAATTAGAAAAGCAAAGCAACTATTTATGCAAAACCAAATGTGTTGGCAAAATGTGATGTGTGGGTGAAATATATTGATCTCATGTCATAACTTACTTTTGCCTTTTGATCAGAATTAATGTGGAAATCACTGATCAAAAAGGCCAACAAATATGTAGACATTTTGACGGTTTTCTCAAATGTATCGGCAATCCATTCCCCACTTTAATATAAAAACATGTTAATTAAATTTCAAACTATATTTACTTATTTCAAACTTTTACTATTTGTATACTATTTTTATAAACAATCTTATATTGTACTATAATTAAGTTTTTGATCAATTTTAATTCTAAAAGTTTATGCAATGAAATTCCTATATTGTGTTTATATAGAAACAGTTAGTTTTACGACTTATAAAGCAATAAAAACTTAAAATTTGTTATAACACTATTATATAATTAATATTTACTATTAACTTTAGTTAAACTATTAACTGAGCATGGTATTAAATAATATTGAATACCTTCGATGAGTTGTAAGTATAGGCATATTAGAGACGGCTCTGAGAGAGTTGTGGTGAACGAGAGTCACATTAAACGTGGCTTTCATAGAGGGCTCATCAAAGCAGGGAAAGGCTCGGCGCGCGTCCGTCGGCTGAAACTGTGTCACAGCTAACCATCTGATCATACATTCAATCAATTTAATTAACTTTTAAACTAACTTTGTATTAGTTATTTGTTAATAAAAAATATTTATTCGCTTTTATTTTATTACATAAAATTATTTATAAAAATAAAATAGTGTTAATTTTCTTTATAATCAAATAATTAATGATTTAATTTATTTATACTGATGAGAATTTTTCTAAACTTTAGCATAATATCGATTAAAATAAAGTCTTATATCTTATTTCCTGTAAATGTTAATGACATAAGCTTTTGGTAATCCTATAAAATTGTGGCAATTTTTGTGATTTACACTAAAAACAAAAATATTAATGATTAGTAAACTTTGGTTACTTAATGTGAATACCATGTGAAAATAATCGCAATCCCATTAACACCAAAAAATAAATAGTTTACAAATGATTTAAAAAGAAAGTGATATAAAGTATATCATATAATTTAAAACAAATTATTAAAAACGATATTTAGAAATAAAATGTATACTCCAAAAATTTTCTTGTATTTTGCAAACCTAAACCTTTTTAGTTATATTTAAGATTTATATAAAATTGTGGACATAATTCAAAAACATAATAATTAGTGATAATCTTAAAAATATTTCAAATGTATTCGTTAAAAATTGGTATAATTTTCTGATCCCATCGATAGATAAAAGTTTATTTTGGGAATAATTACCACTAAATGCAGGAAACTTTAAAAACAATTAAATCTATAACTGAAATGAATAATTAATTTTTGTTTGTTTTCTGTAATCAATCACAAAAAGTCTATATTTCGTAACCAACTTATGACAAAAAAAGACATAAAAAGTCAAAGACAACTATTTTATATNNNCAAACCATTTGCCATTTGGGGTGAACGGCATTCACACCCTCGTACTCCATAAAAGAGGCAAATCCTTCGTTGAGCCTAAATGTAAGGAATTAATAAATATTTGCCAAAAAATATAACAAATTGTCGGTTAGTTGACTGACCAGAGGTCGTCCCACCACTTGGGTGTCACCAAATTGCCGAACCATTGATGAGCCAATTCGTGTGCTTTTCAATTCATTCACAGCATTATTTGTATTTGCATTTTGAAACAATTGAGAGTCAGTTACCGATAACTGTGGCCACTCTTTGCAGGTTATGCGATGACGAGACCGACTGGTCGTAAAGCATAGCCGTCTCCCTGTATATAATCATACCCCAGTTCTCCATCGCACCCGCGTTTAGATCGGGTACAGCCACCATATCTGCACGGATCAAGTGTTTACAAAACTACACATTTATTATCTGATTAGCACAAAACGAACCCATTTTTGGTAACGGATACGAAATATTGTAGTAATTTTCAAAATATTGTAACATTTTTGGCCCGACATCTAAAGAATAATTGGTGGCCGATATTGCATCGGCTCTCGACCACACACTAAACTGATATATTTATAGTTATTTTGATTTTATTGTTGAATATTTATATATAAATATAATTATTAAATCAGAATATTCATAGATTATAATATGTGGTACTAACTCATCATTGATTATTTAAAGTTTATATATTATTTACATATTCTTGAATCTAATTTGTAATCAGATCTTTTTATAGATAATTTAAATAATATTAACGTTTTTAAATTAAATCTTTTGGATACATTAAATGAAATTAAATTGTCCAACTTTTAAATGAAGTTATATATTTAAATTCACATAAAAGTTTAATTAAAGTATTTTTGCAAATACTAGTTTGTGTGGAAATAATGAGGAATTGGAAAAGCAAAGCAACTGTTTATGCAAAACCAAATGTGTTGGCGAAATGTGATGTGTGGGTGAAATATATTGATCTCATGTCATAACTTACTTTTGCCTTTTGATCAGAATTAATGTGGAAATCACTGATCAAAAAGGCCAACAAATATGTAGACATTTTGACGGTTTTTTCGAATGTATCGGCAATCCATTCCCCACTTTAATATAAAAACATGTTAATTAAATTTCAAACTATATTTACTTATTTCAAACCTTTACTATTTGTATACTATTTTTATAAACAATCTTATATTGTATGTATAATTAAGTTTTTGATCAATTTTAATTCTAAAAGTTTGTGCCATGAAATTCCTATATTGTGTTTATATAGAAACAGCAAGTTTTACGACTTATAATTTATAAGTTATAAAGAAATAAAAGCTTAAAATTTGTTGTAACATTATTATATAATTAATATTTACTATTAACTTTAGTTAAACTATTAACTGAGCATGGTATTAAATAATATTGAATACCTTCGATGAGTTGTAAGTATAGGCATATTAGAGACGGCTCTGAGAGAGTTGT